ATGGTATTCAGCAGTCATATTCTGATTACTCACTGTTTGTTTTTCATCGTGACTCATTGAGTTTACATGTTCTGGTTTACGTTGATGATTTGATCATTTCTGGAAGTGATCCAGTCCCCATTACTACCTTTAAGGATTATTTGGATTGCTGTTTTCATATGAAGGATTTGGGTTTGTTGAAATATTTTCTGGGTATTGAGGTTGCTAGGAATTCTTCGGGCATTTTTTTGTGCCAGTGGAAGTACACTCTTGACATTGTGACCGAGATCGGTCTACTTGGCGGTAAACCGACGGATTTCCCATGGAACAGAATCACCAGCTTCCCTTAGCAGACGGTCCTCTCTTCTCTAACCCCGAGCGTTATCGACGTCTCGTTGGGCGACTGATCTATTTGACAGTCACTCGTCCTGACTTGTCTTATGCGGTTCATACCATGTCTCAATTCATGCAGCAACCTCGTCAGGCCCACTGGGATGCTGCTCTTCGGGTAGTTCGTTATTTGAAGGGTACTCCAGGGCAGGGTATTCTTCTTCGTTCAGATTGTGACTTGTAGATTTACGGTTGGTGTGACTCTGATTGGGCGACTTGTCCCACTACACGCCGTTCTCTTTCGGGCTGGTTTGTCCAGCTGGGTCATTCACCCATTTCTTGGCGCACCAAAAAACAACACACTGTAGCCCGGTCTTCTGCCGAGGCCGAGTATCGAGCTATGACGACCCTTACTTGTGAGTTGAAATGGTTGAAGGGTTTACTTCACAGCCTTGGCGTCGCTCATTCTCAGCCCATGCGGATTCATTGTGACAGCCAAGCAGCTCTGCAAATTGCTGCTAATCCTGTATTTCATGAGCGCACGAAACATATTGAAGTCGATTGTCATTTTCTTCGTGATGCCCTTGTTCAAGGTCTCATTTCTACCGCTTATGTTTCCACTCATTCTCAATTGGCGGACATCTTCACCAAGGCCTTGGGAAAACGCGAGTTTGATTTTTTTCTTGCCAAGTTGGGCATCCGGAATCCGCATGCTCCAACTTGAGGGGGGGTGTTAGAGTGATTTTGTGAATATTGTATTTTTGGTATAGATAGATTTTAGTATCTTAGAGATTTGGTCTATATTGGTTTTAGGGCTTCCTTTGTATCTTTATATATTCGGCTCTCGTGAATATCAAAAGAAATGTTTTCGGAAACAAATTGGTGTTCACATATTTGTCAGAAAATGAGGTGAAGTTGGGGTACCATATAAAACATCTTTCAAATTTTTAAGGTTAATTAGTTAGCAGTTTAAAGGGTAATTGAAGGAAGTAAAAGGATACAAGCCATAATTTCAATGGGTGTTTGTTGTTAGGTATATACGAAGCATGTGCGAATGGTACATGATGATAGAATGACCCAAAGTTAAATACAACAAAATCTATAACTATAAAAAGAGAATAGCTATTTACTAAATATAGTAAGCAAAAAAATTCGAAATACTAAAACTGACGTCATATATCTATATCTATATCTATATCTATATAAAGAGGTTGTTGGAAAAATACATTATAGAAAGTTTGACCAAATAAATATAATTTTTGACTTACTATTAATAGAAAGTTCAAAAAAACACACGTGAATCATTAATAACAAAATCTAAATCCTATTTTTATGGTAACAAATTTAGAGATTTTTATGGCAAAATTTGAATCCCATTTTTTTCGTATCATATTTTATTATTTTACCAAAATTTAAATCATATCTTTTTTGATAACAAATTTGGAGATTCTTATCCAAAAAATATGTCAATTATTTATGAAAATAATTCTAAATACAAACTAATTTAAAAACCGTGTAAATTGGATACAAATTTAGGAAGCAAATAGTTGTAAAATTCTTAACCAATTCTTCCAATCTTATTGAATAATTTTTTCTTTCAAAATAATTGTGTAAATTAGATAAAGCCACGTGCAATTTTATTTTTAAAATAAAACTGATATTTGGGCGGGATGTACATTCAAAATTGTGTCCTCATTTTTTGGTGACAAAAGCGGTTCATCATTGATATTTAAAGTCACCTTATTCAATTATTTAGGAAAAATTGTGTGCAACTTTTCAAAATTTAAATTCATCGATTTTTTTGGATTCTTATGTTTTTTCTTAACCATGTTTTACCGAGATTTTGGTAAGTTCATATCATTTTTTTTAGTTAAGTTCATATCATTTTCTTTAGGAAGGAGACAATTGCATAAAAATTAACAATTTATTCTAATTTTTTATTAGAATTATTTCAATTCAATTGGTTTGGTACAAAAATCGATGCAATGTTAGGAAAAATCCGTTGCATTTTTAGGAAAATTTGATGATTTTTTTATTTGGTTTAAAAAAAATCGGATCAATTTGTTTGATAAAAAAATGATTTATTGGTAGGAAAATCGGTTTCATTTCCGGGAGTAACTAATGATTCTTTTCAATTTTTCTTAATTGAAATTTAGAATTAGATTTAAAATAAATAATGGGTGAAAGTCCCTAAAAAATTCTACTTTTTTTTTTCTACTTTAATTTTGTTCAATAAATAAGATCTTTTAATTTTCTTAAAATTTGTTAACTAATAATATGCAATTTTGGATAAATTCGAACACCTATGTAATACTTTACATGCCAAAGAATCAAATCAATATTTTGTACATAAGGAAGTGTTTAATAAAATATAAATTTTATTTTCATGAAATTTTTAATGGCATGAAAAATTTAAATAAAAAAATACTTTTTAAAAAATAAATAGGTAATAAATGCTCATGTGTATCGCACGGGTACCGTACTAGTTTTAAATAATAAATAGTTGTTTTTCTTAACAAACTGTGCATGTTTACTGGGAAAACAGAAAAAAAAAATCTTTAATTCAAATTCAAATAGTAACAGTTACCTAATAATTTGGAAGCGAATTTCCATTCATTCATATTTTTAAACATACATAAAAAATGAGAGAGTCCTTACTCAAATTGTGCTAGGGGAATTTAAAATTGGTACGAATTGACATCATTTTTTTTATTACATATAAAACTTATTATATTAAGTTTGAACTTCATTACAATAATGTTCCTTACAATTTAAATAAATAATCCGTTTATACAAATTCAACGAAGAACTAAAACATCATATTATATTCCTAATATTTGCTTGATATATATATTTATATATAAAAAAAAAAAATTTGTTAAATTGATAATGCATTGAATTTGTTAAGCAACTTCGGACGACCCTACATCAGCTGTGGAACGATCAAACTCGGAGGCCTGTATGTTGATACCCGACCTAGCAACATTAAAATAAATTACACGTGACATCAAGATCCTTGAATGGAAATTTCTAAGCACCAAGATAATGACGAGATTAGTCGGACCCGGACAAAGTCATCACAAAAAGCTCATACTCAGATACGAACATAACTCGGAGTACCCAACCACTCTGAAATGGAGGTCGGACTGTGTAAAGAATCGAATGAGGGACAACCACACTCGAAGGCTGAACCCAGATCGTGATACGAGAATAGCAGCCCGATCCCTTAAAGGTCGGACTCTGACAGAGCATTAAATGCAAACAAGATATGTGTCAGTTACCCGATGGGCAAGTAATCGACTGACATAGGACACACTGGGCAGTGTAGAATATCATAACAGTAACATGCCAATCTCGACAAGTGTGTGCGTGAGTTTCATAGTATAAATACCCACAATAATTGTACAAAAAAAAGAGAGGCAACTTTTGCCATAATACTGTAACATTTTTCATTGAACTCTGAAAAAGCAGGGACTAAGGGTCCGACAAATTTCATATATAAAACACGAGGAAGTCCGACCTCGTCTGGTTGAATTTCTCATCTTAGTTCACGGTAAATATGGCATTTGTTGCAACTTTGATTCTATAATCACACCATAGTTCCCATAATTTTCCACATAAATTCATCCTTAACTTAGGGGATTACCTAACTCGTTGTTGCAAATATTACATAACAACATGTCAATAAAACCCGGGGGGTTGGGTTACCGGCAGTTCCGGGTCGAGTAAACCTGAGATGATTGGGTTCCGGTCGAGTTTGAATAGAATTATGCTATCTGAACCCCAGGTCGGGTCGGGTCGAGGTATAGTAGAAAAACCCATTACCCGACTTGATTACCCTACCCGTTTACCCGCAAATATTGAATCTTATACATATGTGTATGTGTGCGTATATATATTACAAATATAAAAGTAGTCATGACATGCTTTGTGAATATTAAAATTAAACTATTTATTATAATTTCGGTTAATGGTTAAATTTTATTTTTTTTATCAGTTTTTTGTTTTAGTTGTACAATAATAAATTTAAATTTCAAATGTTATATTATTAACTAGACTATAAAAGATAAGGAATTATATCTCATTATTTATTCTAAAATAATATAAAAAGACTTTTATTGTTATTTTATTTGTCAAATTTTGTTAATAAATTGTTAGGTACATTAAAATTAATTGTAGAATTATTTTATTTTATTTTATTACAAATGAAGCGGGTCAGGTTTGGATGACATTAGATAAATCTCAAATTTAAGAACTTGGATTACCCATTTAGCCGATGAAAATCCAATAACTCATCGAGTAAAACCCAATCCAAACCTAAAAATCACTTGCCGAGTAATGGGTTGTGTTCGGATTTGTCAAAACACGCCTCCAACCCGACTTGTTTACATCCCAACAATTGAAATATAACAACACATTTAGTCATCACTCAAAAACCCACTAACTAAACCATTGACTAAGTGGATAATTAGAAATTATTTCAAAATATAGTGGGTTGGGTAGGAATTTGGATGCATGATATATCATTTATGGTATAATCTTTATACCATGTAAAAAAAAAAGGCATTTTATTGTGTCCAAGATTATTTATCCCTTAACAATTAATGACAAGTGATTAAACAAAAAAATGAGTCATTTTCGGTTTTCCACTCATCTATATCTAATAATTTATTTTATTTACATAAATAAATAAACAGTTTAATGACTCATTGCCTATTTTGCGTTTTTTCCTATTTTTCGTTCCATTCATTCTCCCTTTTGTCACCACCGTCATCTCCGCCGTACACAACCGCCCTAATTTCCAGCTGTGTCGCCGCTGGTGAATTCAGATTCACAATTCAATATTTTTACGATTCAATCTTTTTTAGCCTAAAAAACCTACAGCCGTCTCTCTCGCGAGCAAGTCACGCACTAGTGCGGGCTACGAGGCCATTTTTATGCGTGAGATTCGGGAAAAATCCACGTGCTTGCTGGGAGATCCGAGGCTTGTTAAGGTTTGTTTTCCGGTGAAACTCGTGGTTCGACGCCGTTTGAGTGTGTGGTGGTTCAGTCCTGTCATGCTCGATTTGGGTTGTTTTTTTGTTGTTGATTTTTTTATTTTTTATTTTCCTGTATGTTTCTTAGATTAGTGAATTATAATTTTATTTGTTTCCCAGTTTGGGTTTTAAGAATTATGAGGGATTTTAGTGGGTGAAGAAGTATGATAACTACTTTCGTTGTTTGTTAGTATCACGAAATCCACCATCTGTTGTGAAGATTTTTGTGGGTTGGTGAGGTGGGTATGAATTTTGTGAGGGAAAATTTAATGGTGTTGTAATTTTATGTAGAAATCCTCAATCCTTCCATGATGTCATTAAAATAATTTATTTCCTTTTCTGTTGTAAATAGACAGGGTAAAGAAAGCATGACTAATAAATCTCCCATTATTGGCATGACATGATTTTATTATTTTTATTTTCTAAATCTTTCTGTTCTGTTGCATACAAATTCTTATTGTAAAGAACCAGTGATTCTATTTTTATTATAAATTTTCATTCTACTCAGAACATTACACATATTGTTCCCAAAAGGTGCAATCTTGATGCTTTTAGACTAGAAATGTGGACTGCTTATGATAGTTTGCTTATTGTTTGCAGATATTGTTCCAAGGAGGTGAAATCTTGATGCTTGGATGATTCTGATCTGTTTAATCGAAGGTTGTAGTATTGAGGATGAAAGGAGGCATTCAAGGAGTAAAGGTTTCGCAAGTCTCCCTCGTCCTTATCGGGTTGGTGTGCGCCACTGTTCTTGCATTGACATGGAAGAAGACCATTCTAATGGCCTCGTCTGTCCCTTCTTCTCAGAGTCGTGTGTTGCAACTGGATGGCTTAGGTTTGCCTCTCGTGCTTTGTGTTACTAATCTGATTCAATGTGTTTTTTTTTTTTTTTTTTTTGNTTTCTACTACCCAACGAGCATGATTTCTATACGTGCATGTTTATTTAATGTAGAATTTTAAAGTGACAGCTTCTCGACTTAGACTGTAGTGTTCATCTTGCTACGTTGACATTTTACTCCAAACCGTATTAGTGATTGGATTATAATTCCGATTTTGAAGAGTGCATCATTGCTTTATTTCGTCATATATATTCTTTTAAGCTAACCAATCCATTATGCTAAGATCCTTAGCTTCCATTTATGTGCGACCAATATGTGTGAGGTCATTGTAGATCGAAAATTAGAACCTAAAGAATCTGTTTGATAAAATAATGTTGCCTGCATTCCAAGGGAATGGGAACTATATTTAACACGTATGGGAAGGGAGAAAGTAATAATTAATTAAACAAAACTATTGTTTGATTGTCAGTTCAGTTGCCACAACGAATATTTTGCTCCTTGCACAGGCTTCTGTGGAGGTAGATTTGCCATCATTTCTTAACGTTGTGGGGTCTTCTTGGCGGTTCTAATTTTCTTCATTTGCCTTACTTGTTTTAGTGATTTGCATCATTGAACTTATAAAATTTATTACTTGGCTAGAGTTAAGGTTGGTAGTTTTGGAATCTGTTGTGGTCCTGTCCCTGGATATATGCTTGTCTTTCTTTTATAAATTGTCTTATTTGTTATCAGCATTCTCTTGTGCTAATTGCACTTTCGATTACGTATTATTCTCAAATACATTACAATAGGAAATCTGATTGTAGAGACTTCCATTTTTTATTTAACTTCTGCTGGCGCAGATAATCCAGATCGTATTATAGAAAGAGCACACCCAAAAGAAGTCTCGCCAAGAAAAAATAAGTATAAACATGAAGAGATCGTGCTAGAATCATCTGTTGAGCAAACTAGAAGCTTACCAGCTGCCACAGGGAAGAAAGGTCGCATACAAGGAAAAATTATTCTTCTGGCTTGTCCATGCTGAAATTTCTTCTTACAAGACCTGATTCATGAAGTTCTAATTTATAACGTATCTGTTCTCTTTCTGCAGAAGTTCTTTCGAGTGTTCTAGAAAATACAGGATTACAAGAACACCCTAATGGTAAAAATGAATCAAAACAAGCAGAAACTGCACCAGAGATATCTTTCAAACCGGAGGAAAAAATAATATTATTCAAACCAGAGGAAACAAGAAACTCTTCGGTTATCTCTGAAAAAAAAGGTTACATCCAACTCTGGCTTGTTGATTTGATATTTCTATAAAGTAGGAAATCGAGATGTTTATACTGCACAGAAAAACCTGATCTGATATGGCATGTATATGCATAAGCAATTCATGCAGCATTTCTCCTGATGCACTTGACTATTTTATGAAATTAGACATTCTCTGATTAAGTTCATATAGTGCCGGCAAAAGGAAGCCACATATTAAAAAATTCCTGAGTTCACATTATGTCCTTTTGGGTTGCCAATTATTTTAGTTTCCGTATGCCTAACGCTCCACTTTCGCTTAGAGGTGATTTCATGTACTTGCGGAATTTCAAATGATGATAACAGCTTTCACAGCATTTTCTTTTTCTTACCCTTTTCCAATATTTCAGATTGTAATTATGCAAAAGGTAAATGGGTCTTTGATGATAGCCGGCCTTTATATTCTGGATTTGGCTGTAAACAATGGTTGTCGTCTATGTGGGCCTGTCGTCTGATACAGCGCACAGATTTTGAATACGAAAAACTACGCTGGAAACCGAAAGACTGTAAAATGGAAGACTTCACCGCTTCCAAGTTTCTGCTGAGGTACATTTAAGTTTCTTTCCTTATTTTCATATTTGTTTGCTGAAATCACTAGAGTTTGCCAAGTCTATATGTTCTCTTTGGTCTGTTGTTGCTAGCTGGTAGGAACTGTTAAGGTGAATCTGAAATTAACTCCCCAAATAAGTTTGGATATCCTCCAAAACGACTCAAAAATCTAACTTGCACGGTAATGAATTACAAAATAAATATTTCCAACCAACTTCAAACTCATCAATCAAAATAAAGAAAAGATTGCTGACATGTAGCCCAGCCCAACTGTTCTCAGTTTCGACATGTACTTGTTTCAGTCTCAAGCAGAATATTTCTCAACAAGTGCTTTAGGGTGTGATTGGTTATAAACTCAACCAAAAAAAAAAAAAAAAAAAAAANCGCTAACAACTTAACATACCAAATTTTTCAAAATTAAATATGGTTTTTTTTTTTTTTTGCATTTTCATTCTGAATCAAGGCCTCACTATTATCACTGTTGTTATTCTCATTGTACTTCAATTTCCCATATAAAAAAATCCTCCTCAAATGCAGAATGCAGGACAAAACCCTAGCATTCGTGGGGGACTCGCTCGGCAGGCAGCAGTTCCAATCCCTGATGTGCATGATAACAGGCGGAGAGGAAAAGCCCGACATCCTTGACGTGGGCCTTGAATACGGGCTCGTCAAAGCCCTCGGATCCTCCAGGCCCGACGGGTGGGCCTACCGTTTCCCCAACACCAACACCACTATCCTCTATTACTGGTCCGCAAGTCTCTGTGATTTACAACCCATCAATCACTCTAACCCAAATAATACCGAAATCGCCATGCACCTTGATCGGGCCCCTTCCTTTTTAACCCGATTTATTAACAAATTTAACGTCCTTGTTCTCAACACCGGCCACCACTGGAATAGAGGGAAACTCAATGCCAACAAGTGGGTCATGTACGTGGGTGGGGCCCCAAATACGAACAGGAGAATAGCAACTATTGCAGGTGCGAAAAATTTCACGGTTCATAATATAGTGAAATGGGTCGATTCGCAGCTGCCTTTGTATCCCGGATTGAAAGCCTTTTTCCGTTCGATTTCGCCCAGGCATTTTTTCAATGGGGATTGGAATACGGGAGGCACTTGTGACAATACTAGCCCTCTTTCTGGAGGGAAGGAGGTTTTGAAGGATGAGTCGAACGACCCTGTTGCTGCTGGGGCCGTGAAGGGGACTAACGTTAGGCTTTTGGATATAACTGCTTTGTCTGAGTTGAGAGACGAAGGCCATATTTCGCGTTATAGCATTCGGGCTATGCCCGGGATGCAGGATTGCTTGCATTGGTGTTTGCCAGGTGTGCCTGACACGTGGAATGAGATTTTGTTTGCTCAGATATGACTTCTGACTGATTGGGTTGACCATTTGAAATGAGTTTTAGGAGAAATGTGATTGGTCTTTTATTTTTTCTCCTTTTTTTTTGTTTAACTGTAGTCAGTATTGTTACAGTAGGTTCTTTGCAGATATTCTGCCTTAATACGGTTTTATAGGTGTCTTTATTTTTGGTCGGTCACGATACCGATTCGAATTGGAGAGTAGACAGGTGGGATTTCGAAATATATACATGTAATGAGCTACTCTGCTCATGTTATGTTGTATCACTATATACATGTAAAAGGATGCTGAATTCTTTAGGTATATAATTAGCTAGTCGAGTTGTCTATTCTGCACATTTCATGTTCACAGGAAATGGATTCATATGAAAAAACTGAGTTCAATCAAGCCAAAAAGGGTTGAGTTTGTTACCTCATTTTTCCAGATGGCTTATCATTATAATGCAAGTGCCAATATAATTCAATCAATTTCGATCCTCAATATTTCTTACCATTTAGACTTCTCTTACACAAGCTTGTTGCAAGAACGACATTTTTTTTTTTTTTTTTAATNTAATCATCACTCCAGACAATTTTTTTTATCATCACTCCAGAAAATCAACACGAGCCATAAAAAATGGAGCAAGTGAATGAAACAAAACTAATAACCGTCAAAACTGTGCTTCCTCATACTGTAAACTGTCAATTGATATATACACTACACTGTACACATAGGTAGAATTAAAAAGGACCATCTCATCTCTAGAAGTATATCATCAGTAAGTAGCTATACCCTTTCTTACATTCACAACAGACTCTACACCAGGCTCTGAACTTCAAAAGCTGCTTCTTGTGAGAGAATTTCTTACACAAGAATCACATAAATTAATGATTCGTTGGCCTCGTCGTCACCAAAGCACTGGCGAATTAAACCGGCAAGTCTATTTGATGATCTACAAAGTGGCAAACATACATCCATATCAGCCAAGTTGTTGTTTTTCATTCTTTTCAATCCCACACAGAACTAATAATGATGATTATCAGACATGATAAACAAATAGCATACACCAAACAAAAGATTGTATGTCGAGGAGAATGAGGCATACTCACCAAGATCTTTTGAAGGCGTGCAACTGCCTGTCATTTCGCACCTTCCTCAAAATCACAGCTGCTTCACCCTTCAACTTGGACAAACTTTTCTAGTTCTCTCAGTTACGTTAAACCCTTTACGTAACATATCTTCCAACCATACCCTCGCCTCTTCAGTCCGACCATCTTTGACTAAACCTTGAACAATGATATCATAAGTCCATCTATTGGGCTCAAACCCTCTTTCAACTAATCGGTCAAAAAAATCACAAGCATGATCTATTCCCTTCATGCTTAGTTTTCGCAATAGCATATTATTAGTGTTCATATTTATGCGGAAGCATCCTTGAATCAGTTGCTCCAACCCCTCGTAATCATAATCTCCTTCAATGGAACCAGAAAACACACCAATGACGTGACCCAACATCCAACACGCAGGCGAAAAACTTTGGCTGCGGCTTAAAAAGGCCCAAGCTGTGTATATTTTCGTGGTTTTCAATGAATGCGACAGAAGTAAATTCCCGATAAAGGAAGAAATGGGAAGGCCCATCTGCGTCATATCATTTACAAGATCAAGAGCATTATGATATTGCCCCAAATCACAATATACCTTAATAAGTCCCTCATAGCAATCGACACTCGGTATCAACTTTTTTGTCTTCATATCATCCAATAATTTCAATGCATGCTCAGGCTTTTCGGCCTTGGAGAGACCAATAACCATAGTGTTCCACAGTCTCCTCTTATGCCAACTCGTGGACAATTCACGGAAAAAATTCAAAGCCTCAGCTATTCTGTTGCTCTTCAGATAACTCTGCAGCACTAGGATGCTAGACTTAATGTCCGATTTAGTACCACTTCTTCTCATCATTTCGTATACTTGTCTAGCTAGCTCTGGTCTCCCTGCATGACCAGCACCATCAATGAAAAATTTGTAAACGTCATACGCAGGCAACAGATTTCGAGCAAAATGCATCTCGAGCAATGCGAAAAACTGATTCTCTGAATTATCTTCTTTACATATGCAGCATATCACCTCCCTCACCAGTTTCCTACTCGGTAAATAACCTTTCTCTTGCATTTCAATGAGTAATGTAGCTGCAATACTTCCTCTACCCGACCTACTAAATCCAATAATCAGGTCAATATAAGAACTCCTCCGGGATTGCTTATTCAATGAGTTGATAAGGCCATGGACTGTGTACCCTTCCTCGACCCTTCCAGCTCGGCAAAAATCGGATATAATCTTGTCATAAGTCGCATTATTGGGCATGATATTGTGATCAAACATAAAACGAACCAAATCCTTCATCTTATCAAGCCTTCCATCTCTGCATAGAGCATCAGTAATACTGGAAAATGTTTTCTGTCCGAGTATATACCCCTGTTCCATTGAATTCCGCAACACACGATAAGCTTCATCAACACTGGCATCCCCCAGTAGAGTATTTGTTAAATAATTATAAGCCATATAATTAACCGAAAGGCCAAAGTCGGCCCGTGAATTGTACAAGTCCATTGCAATATCCGTTCTCCCCACTTTGCACAAGAAGCACAAGATAGCATTCATAGTAACATTATTAGGCAATATCTCCTGATCCCTCATGTCCACTAACATGTCATACACTTCCAGTATTCTATTTTCCCTCAATAGCCTGCAAATCAACATGTTGTAACTGAATACGTCGGGAATGAAACTCTTTGTAGCCTGCTTATCCTTCAAGACTTCCAAAGCACTATCCAGCTTTCCAGCCTTGACAAGGTCCTTAATCCATACACCATATGCATGATCAAGCGAGATTATACCCATTTTCTGCAAATCCAAAACCAACAGTTCAGCCCTCTTCAATTGATTATTCTTACACAGGGCATCCACAAAGATACCCACAACAGTATCACTCAACTGCTCAGCATTATCACGGGCAAGGGCGCGCAAATACTCTTCACCTTTCTCCAACTCATTCCGCTTGCAGAAACTCTTCATCATAATCGAATGCGTGATCTCATTCTGGAAGCCTCTAAGTCTAATCTCGCGAGCTACAGTCTCCACAGCATCAAAATAACCATGATCGATGAAAGAGTTCAAAAGCACATGGTAAGCTAGCGCGTCCAAGTCCACGCCTAGGAACCGCATTTCGCCATACACCTGGAGTGCGGTCTCGGGTTTACCTGCCACGGCATAACCCATCACCAATATGTTGTAATGCCTAATCTTGTGAACATATCTCTGCTTCATATAGTTCTGCAGAAACTCCAGCATCAAGTTCATCATCTTGGCTTTGGATATAATCCGGAAAATGGCATCGAACGTGGTTCTCGTGTGGTGGAAGCCCGGCTGCCGGCCGGCCCAATCGAAGAATTTCAAGCAGGAGAGGACGTCCTTCTTGCCGTAATCCAACACATCGAGAATTAGGATTTCCGATAACCTGAGATTCAATCGGGAAAGCGCTGAGTCGGCGGCGGACTCCTCCTGGGTGCGGAGGATCTCGAAGACGGTGTCGAAGAGGGGTTTCTTTCGGGACATGAACCATTCTCTGAAGTATGAAACAATTTCGTTTGGATGCACCTCGGGCTGAGATCCATCTGGGGCCGTTGGATTAGGAGAGGAAGGAGACAGGGAATGTGATGGGGAGAAGGGATAAGAACTGTGCGTCAGTGAGGAGTAGAAGAACGTGGCGGAGGCGGTGGTATTATTCGCGGCGGCGGCTGGCGGCCGGAGGAAGGCTCGTGTTTGCCTCGCACATCTGATAGTTAGCATTATCTCTGTGTAGTGGTGCTTAGGTTTATAGGGATAGTGAGCCGAAAGAAAGGAGCGCGGCCGTGGTGGTTTTCCGATGCACTCCAATCGCTGGTGACGGCATAGTAAGATGAGGATATAACAGTGGCGGCCGGGAGTCGGCGGCGAACGAAAACGGTACGATTTCCGATGAAAATAGTAATATCAATTGTTAATATTTCTGATTAATAAAAATATATATTTTGTTTGTTTTACAGCTCAAAAGTATTTTCTTTTTCCTTTTTTTTTCAGTGTAATTCTTATTCGAAAAATAATAACATTTTCGATCGGACTTGGTTCAATTGATTGCAGTTTATAGTACTAATCTCTCAACACTATTATTAATTTTGATCATTTTGCCCTACCCTTCAAAATAACAAAAAAATAAAAAAAAAAATATTTAACATAAACGCAGCTCTTAGAACATTATAATATGAGTGTGTGTATTTTGTTAAAAATTTTGATCATTTTTCACCGTAGCTTTAACATAAGCAAAATGTATTCTTGTGGTCCATTACAAGTATAACAATTCCTTAATTTTACTATTCAAATGCAGTTGTGCAAAGGATGTGGCTTCTACTGCCCAACCTAACTAGATACATATTCAAATATCTTTAGAATTGAAAGTTATAGTTTTGCTATGGAGCCATCGAATGTCTCAACTTATGGAGTCATTCACACTTATTCACTAATAGTGTATTGACACGCGTCCTGCAATAAATATAATTTAGACATATGTCAATATGACTCCATAAAAAAACCATCTCATGGCTCCATACTTATTTTGAGCAACTCTATCAATTCAAGTTCTGTCAACAGTTCCGGTTTGTTCCGGTTTTCAGGTCAACCAGCCAGAAAAATTGTGAACCACCGATCCAGTTCATCTCGTTGGATATGTCAAGAAAGGCACCAAACAAACGTGTTTTAAATAAAGATTCGTGTTCACACACTGTTCAACTCAAGAAATATCGTTAACTATTCCTCAACCCAATCATCGAATATACACGTAATATCAAGAACAAACAACGGCGTGTAGTTCTTAAATCTGTACAACGGTCACGAATAATAAATTTAATGATCCCTTTAGCTTAAAAACATTCAAAATGATATGACCTTTCTACTCATTTGAGATTCTCCATTGTTAGTTAGTTACACTTGGCTTTCCTTAGTGATACTCTCTTTGTGCTCTTCAACTTTGACTTCCGGCTTATCTTTGTTCTCGTCAGAGACCGAAATATGGTGGAATGTTTCCTGTATTTTCGTCATGCCCTCTTGCACTGGCTCGATCGCCTGATTTATTGTCAATACAACGTCCTTCACCACCTGTTCGCAAAATCGTACACAATTCTAATATCACAATACAAAATAACATTTATGATTATACGTTTTTACATATAAACTATTGAAATGCAGATTTTTTCCTTAATGAGAACATATTAAGAAGAAAACTTATAGTGGTTTTTACTTTTAGAGGTTGAAGCGCCAATGAAAAAGAAAGAAAAATAAATCATTCTTACCTTTTGACCTCCTTCAACGACAATATCTTGGACGCTTTCTTTGATATTCGTCCCGGGTGCCTCGACCTCGGTTTCTTTCTTCTCGACTATTGCCGGTTTTTCTTTGTTACCTTCTTCTATATCGATAATGGCCGTTGTCTCTTGGGTGGTGACGTGTAATGCGGGAACATAATGGTAAGGTTTTTCCGAGAACACGAAAATGTGAGCAATGGCCGCAATCGCCATCTATGAATAAAAAAAAAAGAATATTTATTGAAGTACCCTATCACTCTAATAGTAAAAAAGAATCGATAAATGGGGAAAAAAATGAAAATTATGAACTTTTTGAATTGTTGATCAAATAGATCATCCCATATGAGAATCTCTATCTTGAACGGTTCCAACCAGTGTTTTCAATACCGTACCGTACCGGCCGGTAATACCGGTAATACCGGATACCGGCCATTGATACGGTACAATTGTACACAGAATACCGGATTTACGGTTGTACCGGTTTGTACCGGGGTCATACCGTAAATACCGGAAAAAACCGGTCTAAAATACCGGTCATCAAAAAAACAAAAATTAAAAAATTAAAAAAAAAAAATTAGTAATTTAAAAACATAAAATTTAAATTGGTAGTTAGAATATTTTATTCTTATCTTATTGGTAAGTTAAAATTAATGATTTGGTCATTATTTTTTTTACTTTTTTGCATTTGGTATAATACATTTTTATATATAAATATATATATATCATTATATTTGTTAATCCGGTAATACCACCGATATTACCGGTCCTACCGGTAATATCGCGTACCAGTGGCTAGACCGGTATGGCCACCGGTACGGTATTTAAAACACTGGTTCCAACAAATAGCTCAGATGAGTAACAAAATATCAAATCTTAGGAGGTATATGAAGTTTCGCCGAAATAGTGAAAAGAATTGTTGATGTGAAGTGTTGAGATAGTAACGACAACCATTAAGTGTATTTTGTGCAATTTTCACCTCTATGCAAATCATGAAATCCTGAAGTGCGGTTTGGAATTCACCATCTTTCGGGAGAACCTTGAAAGTGCACAATAAGACGATGCCCACGCCTTGCCACCACGTAGCAAATACAATAGCCTTAAAGCTGATGAATTTCGCGAGTGGTTTTATTGCTTCAAGTCTCTGGTGAGTCACATTGTAAAACTGAACTAAGCAATACAGTGCCCACATCTGGCTGAAATTCAAAACTACCGTTATGTACGGGTACCTGCATTGTTAGCAATTTACTCTGAGTTCAATATGCATCAAGTATGAACATGAAATAAAATAAATTACTCATTTACAATCGAGAAGAAGCCCACCATTTTCTCCTGTGATTCTTCTTGGAAGGAAGAAAAACAATATAATACGCCATATTACTTGACAAGATTTTATTTAACGAATTTTAAGTACATACCCATAGTACCACTTAAATTCTCCATCACCATACACGCCAAATAGCTCGAGGACTAATGCCAAGAGTGCACACACAGTCTTCAAAATCATCTGGCAGAAGAAGGTACGAAAAGTAAGAACGTCTAAAATAGAATGGAAATTAACAGAACTAAATTAACAGCACGAGGGGATGTTTACATATTGTACTAAACCAAATCTTATAATCGTGAACAAGTCTTTCCCTAGCACGCTTGGTTTGAAGATAAAGTTGCGAAAAGTTTTATGCTTCGACTGAGGTGCCTTTTCCCCTTCTAACAACGGCTCCCTAATTTGCTTGTTTGCCTCATCTTCAAGCATGTTCACAACTTCCATCTCTCCACCTATAGAATAAAAGCCACTATACAACAATTCAATCACATCCTTTTATTTGCATGTTACTTAATGTTAAGAATTCGAGGTCACAACCAACGAGGGTGAATGCTATTTATTTAATATTTCAGTGACTAAAACAATCGTATGAATTATGCTAATCTTACCAAGGCATGCAACCAAGTAGCTCCCGAACGCATAAAGGGCAAAAGCTTCATAACAATTTCTCAGTATGTCACAAGCAAGGGATAATTTTGGATTCCACAAGGACAATATCTGGAACAAAGAAATGCTGTTTAATTTTATTTTTTAAAAAGATAGTAGGCCTCGTTTGAATTATCACAAGTCTACTAAGAGCACTAGAAGCAAACTCGACAACAAAAGGTAAACATATATGAGTAAGTACTTACTGATTCGACAGAATATACTGGAACCATAAAGATAACAGCAACAATCCACTTTTGCTCCTGGTCGAATTATTTGGCACTGGAAATGATTAACAACATCTAATCCAACTAAAATCCTCTAACCAGCATTTGTTAATTTTAGCAACTAAATCCAAACATTTTGGTCAGAGCATTAGGACAAAACCGAATAAGCATATCAAAGTTAAGAACTTCGGTTAAAATACTAACCGAGGGGTTGGTGTACCATCTGAGATGCTGGAAGGTTAGGAGAAGAGAAAGAACTAAAGCAACACAAACAAAACATCCGGCAATGGCAATGGCTGGCAAATGAAGATCTTTATAGATGCTCTGGTACAGAAACAAGTAAGGTGATGATGCCATGTCACTTGCATTTTCAGATGCCCTCAAAGTGTTTGATGAATTGCGAGTATATAGCCTGCCAAAAAACATATTCTAACGTAATTACAATCCGACTTTTGGGCAAAACAATCATGAATTTCGAATCAGCAATTAATGTAATATCAGCAACACATATTTTCTTCAGATTAATGTAAGGTTTCAATAAGTTTCCCCAATTGCAGGTCTGTGAGAAGATACTTGTAAGCCCATTACAAACTTGACATAAAAAATCTTAACTTTTTAGCAGTTATGGTTTGATTCAGGGGCACAACAAAAACTACTGGTTCAACTGGAATCAAATTTTCCTCTAATATTCAATTAAGTTCTCATCAAGAATACAAGACAAGAGGTTTAATGGGCTGTGGTGTGTGTGTGTGTGTGTGTGTGTGTGTGAGAGAGAGAGAGAGAGAGAGAGAGAGAGAGAGAGAGAGAGAGAGTACTTACTCTTGATCTGGGCCATTGAATTACAAGAAATTTGGCTCGCTCGTGTACCTAACCAAACTCAAAGATGGGCAATATATGCTATAAACGATGAGTCGATGACGAAAGGAAAAAAGAGAAACTATTATAGAAAGGTGATGCTTTACCGTGATTAATTTGCAGACCAATCCGTTTTGTGGGTTTCTTGGGTAATTAGCGGCATGCAGAATTTCAGGGGAAGTGGACACGTAACCTCGAGGTGCCACGTGTACAACGCCATTTATTTTTCAGATGAGTTCATCATATGTTGCCATGTTGTCATAGATAGAAAATGAGACCCTATCCTATGGTTTGGGAAAGAAGAAGTCTATTTCCATTGGATATAGCTTCATAAATATATCCCTTATACGAATTAACTTTAATACTTTTGTAAAAAAAAATATATATATATATATATATATATAC